ACGTATCCTGAATTCCCAGTTGCCATGTGAATCCTATGTGAGGGTTAACCAGCAGGAATGAGGCCTTCAGAAATCAGAGGAACAAGAGGTACCAAACATGCCCTGTCACATACAGTCGGCTCTCACTATTTGCTTGGTAAAATATTGTAACCAAGAAAGCTCTGAGCCATGACTTCAGACACAGGGCAAGCTCAAGCAGAGCCCAGCTGTTTCTCTGCATAGGCAGCATAGGACACGAGACTCCAGGTGGGCAAACAGGTGTGACTTGGGAAAGAACAGGAAACAAGCCACCAATAGGAGGCAGTAGAGGGAGACAGAGCCATGCAGGTCCCTATGCCCAGGTCTGGGATACAGGCTATAATCACTGTGTCCATTTGCATATGTTATCATACCAGTGCTCAAAGTCAACCTTGGGCAGTGAGCTGGGGAGGGACTTCTTTCATGGTTTCCCAGGGCTGACAGCCAGAGCTAACAGCCAGGCAACTCCACACGCTTGGCACAGTACTGAGAAGAAATAAGATCTGGGCTACACTGCTCCATGATCCAAATTATCCATGACACAAAGCTGCCCACTGCAGAGGAAACTCAGGTTAAGCCTGGCACCCAATCCTGCCACACTCACCATTAAAAAAGTCCGCATGAACTGCCTTTTCATTGGCTGCCAAGTCCATCAAGAGCCCGGTGCTCCCTCCGGCCTGGAGAATGAAAGGTAAGGACATTCATTGCGTGTTTGTTTTCTAAAAGCAGGTGGTAGGTTCATTACCATACCCATCCCTGCTCCCTGGAACGGAACAGTGAGTGACAGGAAGAATGCTCAAGCTAGAGCCAGAATTTTCCAGACAAAGGGGGCAGTGTGAATGGGGAAGCTGAGCAAATTATTTTAAAGGTCTCTCGAGGTCCCGTGTCCCTTGAGTCTTCCTTGGCACTGCAGTGAGTAGCGCTCTTGCTGGAGTCTTCAGTCCCTTCCGCACCATGCCACAGGATACAGAAGCGCAGCACCAAGTCAAATAACTACTCTGGCCCTCCCCTGAGAAGGCAGTGTTCCCAATAGGACAGTGACACCCCAGCCCGAGGTCTGGGGTGCCGCTCTGGGAGGACCTTCCAGGGCAGCCACCTGGTTTATGAGATACGATTATGCTCCTGGGACTCTGTGCCATTTAGTCACCCAGAAGGTGGGAGCACAGACTTCAGGCAGCAGCACTCTGGACAGCTGGCCCCTTCCTGCCTGGGCCCTAATGCCCCAAGGCCACTTGCTCAACCCCCTCCTGGTTCTCAAGCGGCTCCTCTGTTCCCTTTAGAAACTGCTCCCTCCCCAACCCCATCACCACAGTAAGTCACACAGATTCTGCCTCTGAAATCCTGACCAAGCCCCCTCCCCCACCTCACTCAGAACCTCTTCAAGTCTTAATTCTTCCTGTTTCCATTTCTCTACTGCCTCCCTACAAACCCAAACTCCACACCCTCCTGTGGGGACCCACCTCCACAGGCAGTCTTCCTACTGTGAGGCTGGCACACTGCCGGGGCGCTACTGAGGAGCCGGGGCTGACCGCAACTGTCTCAGCACTGGATCGCAGGGCCCACTCATTCTGCAGGCTTCATGATGAGGCCCTGCCTGTTCCCGCCCCTCCATGCCCTCTGCTCCCATGGCTCTTGTCATCCATGTCCACACGAAAACAGGACACACCCTTCACCACTTGGCTCAGGGAAGGCTCCTCTCTTGAGCCTCAACTGAGCCAACCAAAATCCCGTGGATACTTCTGTAGGGCAACACACACACACACGCCCTTGCTATTAAGGATTTTGCGCGCGCGCGCACACACACACACACACACACACACACACACACACACACGCCCTTGCTATTAAGGATTTTGCGCGCGCGCGCACACACACACACACACACACACACACACACACACACACACACGCCCTTGCTATTAAGGATTTTGCAGTCGGCCTCTCCTGGCCATACCTGACCTCTCTACGGGCAGGGGCTGCACTTGTACTCGCTGAGCTTTGCCGGGGAGCAAGAGGCTCTGATACACAGGGGCTGACTGACACTCCTGATCACAAGCACCCCACTGGAGCCCCTGTCCCAGGTAAAACCGCTCCGTGGCCATGACGGAGGCCAAAGGAAGAAAGAAGCCCGCTCCAAACCTCCGTGCGTCTACACACGAGTCCCAGCGCAGAGCACACGAAAGCCACACACCGCCCCTTGCCCTTCCTTCCCCGGCGCTTGGAGCTGGCGGCCTAGGTCTCGCTCGGGCTTTCTCTCCTGGGGAGATTTATCAGGAGCCCCAGTCAGAGAACTGCCCACGAGCAAACCCTACTTCCTCGCTGCAATCCACCTAACACCGACCCCGGCCCTGCGACTGTCACCGCCAGCCCCCGCTTCCCCAGCCGCCAGCTGCCTTGGACTCCCCCAGGGCGCGGGCTCCCGCGCGTGTCTGCGAGTTGCGCTCCCGCCCCCACGCCCCGCTCCGCACTGCCGCAGCCCCACCTCGTCCAGGTCCACGTAGGGACCCGCTCCCTCGGGGAACATCTCATCCACGGCCGGCTTCATCTCCGAGCGGCGGCGTTGCGCTCACTTCCGGCCAGCCCCGTCCACTTCCGGCGTGTCTCCGAACTGGTCTAGACGCCGGAGGACCGCGCCTCGGTGGTGCCCCGCCGACCCGGCTCCTGGGCACCTGAGCTTTCTCCCGCCTAACAGATTACCAGTTTAGGACCTGCAACACCCCATGAGCACGAGTGGCCGGTGGAGAAAGGAGACTGTTTTCCAGCGGGGATGCAGTTCAAAACCATCAGAATAGCTACTATACAGAAACCGCGGGCAGTAACAGGGTAGCGAGAAGGAGTGGGTATTGGACCCCCAGGCTGCTAGGGTTTGCAGAAATCCAAAAGTTGTGCACAGTGGCCGTGACCTAGATTCCCAGCCTGGATTCTCTCGGAAATCGCTCAGGATCTCCTCAGCCAAGAAGAGGAAGCAGCCCAGTACCCATGGATGCGTGACCGCAGACAACACCAAAACAGCCGTTATCCACGTGGTAGGATATTGTGGAGTCCTACCTAAGAAGGGATTTCTAACCCATGGGCTTAGATGAGCCTTGAGGATGTTGTGAAGTGAAATCAAATAAACGCTGTGATCCCACTCATGCGAGATCTCCAGGGCAGTGAAACCCCTAGAAATGCTGCAGTGTGATGACTTGGGAGTGGCAGGTGTTGAGTGGACAGTTTCAGATCTGCAAAGTGAAGAGTTCTAGAGGCGTGTGTGTGTGTGTGTGTGTGTGTGTGTGTGTGTGTGTGTGTGTGTGTGTGTGTCCCGGGGGTGTCCATTATATCACTGGACTGTTCGCTGAGAGGCTGAGAGGTGGGTACGTTTTGGGGTGCTATATTGTACGGTGCCATGGTTTTTAAAGAACGAAAGAAAGGTGAGAAAGGGTTGGAGGGGGATCATTGGGAGAGAAAGCCTGAGATACTCAGACAGTCTAGAAGATTCTAGTGAGGCTCCTGGATGTTCCTCTAGGACCCTCTGTGCACTCCCTTGTAAGATCCAGGTTTAGCAAATACCCCTGTGAAGTTAATGTAGCAAGAAGCCTGGAACCAACTGATACCTGCCTGCCCTCCGTGTCACCCTTCACTATCCCCAGACAGTTCCGTGTGACCCTGCCTGCAGCGAAACCCCTGAGTTACTCCTGAGTCATTTCCTATCCACCTCCAGCCCACTCCTCGCCTGTCAGGCGCTATTTCCCGATGTTGTTGAGCCAAGTCTCTCCCTGCAGCTCTAGTCTGTGGCTCTTATACCTGTCATGTGGCTTTGGATGATCCCCCTTACTCTGATTTTATAGTGTTCAGGGACTGGGTTTTTTTTTTTGTGGGGGTTTTGTTGGTGATGGTGCTGTTTTTCCTTTAACAACTTCGAGAAGTCAAGGGGTTTGGATCCGGGCTGCTAGAGTGAGAATGTATATCACGGGAGACACCAGCTCCAGGGAAACAGACTTAGCACAGATATCATGGCAATTGCGGCCTGGGAAGTCACTGCCCCCCACCCCTAAGTAGACTGTGCAGGATCTGGGAGAAGTAAGCAAATGATTGGAAAACCTTAGATGCCAAGTCAGTGTTGTCCTGAGATGCCCAAGTGAAGGTTAGCCAAGGAAGCAGAGACAGCGTGGCAGCCAAGAGGAACCTCCTATTCAATTTCTCTCCCAACTAGTGGGGGGGGGGCATCAGCCAGCGTGGTCGTGGCTTGCATGACTTGTATGTGTCGGGGAGGCCTATCAACACATCCTCTCACACCCACAGGACTACCCAGGGTGAAATCCCCTTCCCCCAGCAGCCTCGGCCTGGAATCTTACCCTCAAAGACCAAGTGTGAGCTACCACTCTCCCTCTCAGACAGGGATATGGCTTCTTGATTTCTGCTTCTCTCAGGGATATGCTGTGTACTAAGTAGGGATGCCTGGCCCTAACGTGATTGCTGTTCATAGGCAGCCAAGGGAAGGAGCCGCCTGGGATGCTGTCTGGCTTGCCCAGCTAGGCACATGGCCTTAACAAGTCAGACGGAACTGGTGTGTTTGTTCCAGATTCCTTACCTACAATCTGGGGCCACCGTAGCACATACCCAGGTCATTATGAGGATAGGATGACCAAGGTGTTACTTAAGGATGGAAGCCCTGATTGACACTCCTATGAGTAGAAATCATGCATGTTTTTATTAAAGCCCTGATTGACACTCCTATGAGTAGAAATCATGCATGTTTTTATTAAAGGCCTGATTGACACTCCTATGAGTAGAAATCATGCATGTTTTTATTAAAGCCCTGATTGACACTCCTATGAGTAGAAATCATGCATGTTTTTATTAAAGCCCTGATTGACACTCCTATGAGTAGAAATCATGCATGTTTTTATTAAAGGCATGCCCAGTAGCCATCAGAACGAAGCCCAGTTAATTCACAGAGTGATATAGCACACATCAGCTCATTGAAAGAAACCCACAGGGTGTCATGCATCTTCACGGGGAGTTTATTGAGCGCAAGTCCCATCCCTTGCCCATCACCGTGTCTCTGGATCACCTTAGGCCCCAGCCGGTGCAGCCAGGCAGGCAGCAGACTGGAGGACACTGCTCAGTCCTCCTGGTAGGGAACATGGAAGCCCAGGGTGCTTCCCAGAGGGAAGTGTGCAAAGAAGGTTCTGGCCATGTCCTCAATCTGTGGGTAGGCACCCTGGGTCTGGAAATATTGCACGTAGTTCCAGAAGTCAGAGGTGGAGAACGGCCAGTAGGGCATGGCTGGTGGCTGGGTGTAGGGGTCTGGAAGATACAGGTAACCACCTCAGGGCCTGTCCCATTACCCCTGCCAGAACACCCCCTATACAGCCAAGGCAAGTGGGTGGTATTCCCCAGAGCCTGCCACTGTGATGACACCTTCCCAGGTAGGAATGGGGTCTGCATTCTGATTATACCTTTTGCCCATTAGGGTACCTGGACAGAGGAGAAGTGGGGGACAGAAGAACAAAGTGGGGACTTGTTCTTGTTTGGGGAGATGCTGGGCAGGGAGGGTAGCTGGGTGATGGGTGAGGGACTCAGGCAGCATGCCGGATGAGGCTTCAAAGAACACAGCACCGGAGTTCTAGAGCACCGGACAGACCACCTTGGCGGGATTGGGCTGAGATGGGACTCATGAGGGGCCCCAGGGTCTAAGCCCAGGCTGAGGGTGGGACACTGAGGACTCATTCATCTTCTTACTGCCTGACAGCTCCCATGTGGCAGACCACAAGGCCAACCTGATGCTGCCCTGGGCCCCACAGCATGCACTGCTCCCTGCTGCCAACAGCACCTGCATTGTCATAGTCCCAGGAGAGCTAGGCCTCCCGCTGTTCCGTGTCTGCCAGGGCAAGGCAACCTCTGCTCCCCACCCACACGTGTGTACCAGTAACTTATGCCAGTGAAAGGAAAGAGACTGAAAAAATTACCTGCTTCCTCTGGCATCGGTTTGGCTCCTGCAAAAGCAAAGGAGACTCATCACCTAGGGTAACTGTCCATTAACCACTGCAAACCAGGACAAGGGCAGTGTGAAGGAGACACAGGGGGAGGCAGGAGAGCTGTGGCCGGCCAGTGCCAGAGGGGCCCCTCACCTGCAGGAATCCCCAGTAGGATGCCAAGGGCCAGACACCACAGCACACGGTACATCCTCACCGAGGTGCAGGGAGTATGTACTCGGGACCACCTGCAGCAAGAGGAAGTCAGCGACACTGCTGCTGCCCCCAGGACTAACCCATCCTGCCACCCCGAAGTGAACCTCCCTTGGGAGCACTAGCATCTTCATAGCTACTTCTGTTTCTGCTTCCCTAAGCCATGCTGGGGTGGGATCTTAAAAGTTTTGACTATTTAAGAGATGACTCCCCCACCCCAATCCCCATTCCTACCACACACACAGCAGATTCACCCTGTCTGTAGAGAGAGCAGTCCAAACCCTCCCAGAGGTACCTTGATGTTGGTCTATTCGGCCTGATCTGCAGCCTTGTGGGACCACTGCCAATGCTCAGGCTCCTCTTTATAGGAGGGTCGGGGACAGGGAAGGAAGTCACCCGCCTGAGCCATCAAACTGAATATTTCATCCCCAGGCAGAGAACTGTGAGTCTCTGTTTTCCCGCTGGCTGGAGGGAGGAGCTGGGGAGCAGCTGGGGGAATCGGACCACAGAGAAAACCCATCCGTTTTCAAAGCTGAGTTCAGCATGGGTACATCTGATGTCCCTCCTCCCTACTCTAAATGTGACAGGGAGCTGCTGAGATCCCTGCCTGTGCTATGGATCCCCTGTGATCCCATAGCCTTCCCAGTAATCCTGTAAACACTCCCTCACCCAGGACATCGGCAGAACAGCCAGGGACGGAAATTGTGAAACCAAGCTGGACCGCTTCCCCATACCAGAGCTTTCCTCCAAGACTCTAATGGGGAAGGCACTGGCCCAGCCAAGGGGATATCAGCAGCTAACGGGGGCCCTTTAACTCAGGCTACTGTGATTGTCCCTTGCTAGAGCCTGTGTCCACATGTCCAAGTAAGTATAGCCCTGTGACCCCACCCCCGGTCTCAACATCTTGCTGGGTGCAAAGCCTTTGTCCACATTAAAGGGATCCATTGTGCCCCTGGGGGGATCCTAGCACCCTGCTGGATACAAGGTCTGCTTCCAGGGTAATGATCTCTATTCTTTGACACTTTGGGACTCTCAAGGATCCTGGTACCCTGTTCTGGAGTTGTGTGGCCCGAGGTTCATTGTAATTGTCCCTCATCCAAACAATTCATGACTAATTCATGGCTTACACTTTCCCAAGTAGCAGCTTAAATCCAACCAGAAACCCAGAGAGGGGTATAGTCCGGTCACATTGGCACGCAGCCGTGCAGCAGAAAGCCTCTGGGTTTCATTTCCGGAAGCCCGGTTCCCGTGCTGCAAGAGGTGAGGCTCTGTCAGGGCGGTTGCGTCAGGGTCCATGAGCCACCTCCGTGTGTGTGATCCACAAGGACAATCGGGACCGCACAGCTGTGCTCCCAGCTGTGGGCACAGGGAGCCTGGCCAAGGGAAGGGGGTCCAGTCAGAGCCCGAAGGCGCAGACACCCTGAGCCTGAGCATCTGGCCATCAGACGCCCATCAGGGTGTGGCAGTCGACTGCCCACCCCTGGTGAGCCCGTTTCTGAAGGTGCCACGGAAAGACACTCGTGGTAGAAACACGGCGTAGAAGGAAATAGGTGCTACCTTCAAAGCTGGTTTCCTAACACAAGACTGAACTTAGAAAAGTCTACTGTGAGTAAGCAGTGATGGGTCTGGGAAAGGAAACTGGCTGGATGCCTGTCTGCCTTCTCCCTTTCTGGGTGTGTATTACTCTCAGTTCATTACTTCTACGTAAGAAGACCTTAAATGGAACAGCCCTGCCAGCAGCAGCTCCCCGTCACTCTCGCTGGCTTACAGGGGTTAGTCGATCTCCCAGGGCCCCTTACCTCCCGGGACACACATCCTTCCCCACGTCCCATCCCCCCCAACACACTCTCTCTCCCCCCACACGCTCTCTCTCCCCCTCCCCCGACACACTCTCTCTCTACCTGAGTGTTTCACATGCCTTATCTCCCTGGCCCACCCGGAGGGCCACTGCCACCCAGAACACCCCACCACCCATCTGTTTCTCTCTCCCTGTTACCCTGCAGACCACTCAAAGTAAGTCCAAGGGGGACCGCTAAAATGGCTGAACAGGTAGAAGTGCTTGCTGCTAAACCCGATGACCTGAGTTCGATTCCCACCACCCACAGGGTGGAAGGAGAGACTCCTCTTCCTCCACGCCCACGACACACTTGCAAACACGAGTACAATAAGTACACTTCATTTTTTTTAAATGTTGGGTGCCAGTGCAGCCCCTGCACGTGCTCCAGTGGTTCACAGATGTGGTGGATGTTGGCGTGGGCCAACTCATAGCCCTGGTTCTGAGCCTTGAACCATCCAATGACTCATTGCAATGAACACTTACAAATAAAGATGTATTGGCTGATCAATGAAAACGAATGCCTCCCAGGGGTTTGTATATCCACATTTGGTGGGAATCCCAAAACAATGAGTCTCATCCTTTGATAGCAGCTAGGAGTCCTTCTAAAATTCAACTCTGGGCACCGGCAGGGGTTGGTACCCTCACAAGCTCCCGAGGGGATGGACTAGGATACCATATAGGGTGGGCAAGTTTGAAGGCTGCCCAGTCACTGCCCTGAGCCTGGAAGACATCCAGTGTCTGAGGAACAGTCCCTGCTCCCCTGCCCCACGCAGGATCTCCTGCAGGACATCCAAGACCTCAGGAGTCTCTGCCTGCTTGGCATCAGGAGATGCTTAGACCGTATAAGGCAGTCTTTTTGGACAACGGCCACCCTGTTACCTTTCATGGCTGTCACCTGGGAAGGGGTCTGTGGTTGCAAGGAATGACAAGATTGGGAATGATTAAGAGGTATATGGCGCCCCCTGCTGTTCATCCCTGGGACACTACATATCATCTATTGGCTAGTTCTCAAGCCTCACAGATACCCAAATAACAGCCCAACTCAAGTCTGTTCTCCTAGAAGGCAGAGCCCAGAGTAGCTGATCATCAACTTTGACCTGTCCCAACTTGGGCACAGACACTTGCTCATAATTTAAAGTCCCGAGGTCACAGTCCATCGTGCCAATCTGCCTCCTATATTCTCCCCACCGAACAGTCAGCCTGGTTTAATATGTTTACACAGTCCATGTCCCCAAGCCTCAGGCTGTAACTGATCTTAGGGCAGCCCCCTGCTTACTGGACTGTGGCTGGTGTAAGTCCTGAGAGGGGGTGGCTCATAGCTTGCCCTCCCCCAGCTGGGAACATTGCCTCCCTCTTGTGCAGTCTCAGCTTCTCCTTTCGTCTCCTGGCCTGTCACTCTGCCCCAAGTCCTCTGTCAGGAACATTGTCTTCCTGCTTGCGTGGTGCTGTTGGGAGCCCGAGAATCCCTGGGTGTCCCAGAGACTGTCAGAATAGTGTCTGACTCACAGGCAGGGCTGGGGAGTCTTCCGACTGGACACACAGCCCAGGAGAGTGGTCTTACATCACCTGACTACACAGAGCTGGGCCTCAGAAGGCTGCCGTGTTGTCCCTTGGCCCTCTAAACATGCACTGGCAAACATGCTTCCCTCAGGAAGTGCAGCCCCTGCTCCCACAAAGGGAGAGACAGCCTTCTGATGTCACCTATGTTTGTTCTCAAATCCACAGTGTCCTATAGAGGACTTGCTGCTTTAATGAAAAAGCGTAATTGAACGGATACATTATCAACATGAAAAGGGAGACTTCTGGGTCAGTGTTGAGCTGACGTGGAAAGCCTGTAGAGGTGGAAGTCCCTACACACCACAGTCGATGTGGGTGGGACAGCTTTACGAGACAGGAAACAGTAGGAATCTAGAAGGGTTTGAAGTGAGACAGCAGGTCCCAGGCTGCTTGCAGCAGGGGCTCCGAGGAACCTAAACTAGGACTCTGAGGCGCGTGTTTCTGAGACGGCCTCCAGGGGGCACCATGCTCACAGGATACCGTGCAATTGGCCCCCAAGACAGGGTTGTGTCCTCCAAGGATCAAAGCCACCTTCCATGTCATAAGACTGATTTACAGATCTGTAATGTTCAAGCATGTGACCACCTTCTTTTAAAACATCTCATTCCTTTCCTGAACTGACCACATAATCTCTGAACAGGTCCCAGGTCAACCCCAGAGTCTCCAGAAACAAAGGTGACCTGACCTGGGGTGGGATGAGACAGGATTGGGAGGGGAGTGTTGTGGGTACAGCAGAGTGACTGGGAGAAATACAGGATGTATGGTTACATTTGAATCCAAGCAGTCGATGAGTACTTCCCTAGTGTTACGTTTTATGTCTCAAACATCTCCAGAGATCTGCTTGTGCCTCGAATATTCAGTTTAGCTGAAACTATCTTCCAAACATACGCATGCGCAGGTATGTACCCACTTACAGTGCACACAGGCAAGCAGGCATCTATCGCTGCTCCCCATAGAGCAGGGGAAGAGGTGAAGCTGCAGTGGAGGTTGGGATTGGAGCCAGGGTGATCTACAGCAAGGAGGTGTGGGCTGCCTGAGGTCAGAGTCCAGAATCAATACTCTACCCCCAGATCCCCCGGAGCTTCTGGGCTGCTGATAGCCAGTGGATCCAGATGCCAGCCCAGGCAGAACGGTAGGATCATGCTGAAGCCAGGATGCAGGCGATGTTGTGGGCTCTGCCCTGCACACAGGAAGCTCCGAGGGTTCTAACTGGTGGCTCTGGGATGACCCAAAGGGTTAAATGAGCCACTGAGCCAGACATCTCACTAGAAAGTTACTCAGTTTGCCACAACTGAGTAACAGCTGTGAGCTGCCCCCCCCCTGAGAGGCTAATGGGGTTCCCAGCAACGAATATTTAGCATGTGGGCGGGCACTTGGGACCCCCAACAGAGAGACAGGCCTCACATAACCTGTGTGTTTTTGCCCACAGGAATCTTTATCCTCTGCATTTCTCTGCCTCATGGGGAAAGATTCCCAGGGACTCAGGAAGGGCTGGTGTTGACTTGTGGGCTGTGAAGATAAAGCCTGAGACATTTCCTCCAGGGGCATCACCAAAGTGGACATGCTGACTCAGGTCCAAGGATCTACCACAGATCCCAGTCAGGGCACAGGATACCTGAGACTCAGAGCATTAGGAGTGGCACCAAGCCAGGGCTGTGCAGGCCCATTTCCCTAGACACCCTTCTGCAGACCTGGCCCTCCCACCCAGACTACTGGAAAAAAAAAAAAAAACATCTGCTTGTTATAACCGAGCCCTTCCTCCAGCCCCTCAAGTGACTCACCTGCCATGTTTCTAATACAATAGGGAAGGTTAAAAGCTTTCTGGGACCTGGACAAGAATGTCCCCAGGGCTTGGTAGGGTAGGCTACAGGAGTCCCAGGAGCATCCAGACCCTGTGGAGTGGGCTGGAGGGGTCCTGGGAAGGACCTGCAAGCTCAGGATGTAAGTAGGAATGTAAGTAGGCAGACCCTGTTGTGGGGACAGATCTTCCTGTCATAGGGGGAGACGTGGATTGATGGGCCATTACCCATGGAAGTCCAAGGTAGCAGTCTCTGGCCCACACGTCACTGGTTTTCTCACAAATAGGCCTTGTTACCTCTGCTTCCTGATGCTGAGCATTCCAGGTCCAGTACGCAGCTCTTAACCAATGCCCCGCCTAGCCACACTTGCTCTCAGGTAGGATTTTCTGTGTGTCTGCCTTCAGAGAGGATACTTGACTAAGGGACACCTCCCTTTC